AGTGAAAAACACTTTTTTTGGTACAGCATAACATTTAAGAATTAATGCAGATACAGGCACTTACATATTTTTTAATTGCTATTAACTTTTCAAATACTTTTTTCTCAGCTTAATTTGTAGCACATAGTATGTCAACAAAGGGCTCATCTAGATGGGGAATCTAATTGGGGAATCTAATTGTTGGGGGGGGGGTTCCCTCTATAAGTGGTATGCAAGTGATCAAAAAAATAAAAAATAAATAAAAAAAATAAATAAACGGAAAATGTTAGAACTGTTAATTTGCAGTCATATGTTTATATTACTGTATATATATATATATATATATATATATATATATATATATATATATATATATATATATATATATATATATATATATATATATATATATGTTTTTGTTTTTTTTTACTATTTTTCAAGGTTGCACTTAAAAAAAAAAAAAGATATTGTCCAGAGAGCTGTTCTAAACGAAATGTTTTGTGTAAACAAAATGACAAATAATCTGTCTAAGTCTAAATGGTTACTATTATGAATCTTCTGTGTGTAAATATGGAAATGCTGATCCCAGCGTTGAGTTGGAAATTATTTTTTAAGGGACTCTGGCAAAGTTTTCAAAGTACTAGTCCAGACTTTCAGAGGTGGGCAAAGGTAGAACATGTGGGTTAAGACAGACCACATCATGATTAGAGTATATTTTTGCTATTTAGCTTTCAGTAATGAATACTATATTCAACCAAACTTGGTGCAGGAAGTGCTCCCATATTCTCCAAGTAGAGTGTTGTTCCAGATGTCCTCTTCAACCTCCTGTTCCTCCCTAAGCTCATTCATCCAATCTGTTAATCTTGGAGTTGACACTTTGTTAGGTTACTTTGCATATCACTTTATACAGAGCCATCTTACACTGCTGCTTCCTGGGGGACTGTACAAGATTTCTGCTTACAGTTAAGCCTACAATGTTTAAGTGGCAAAATACAAAATGCTATATGAAGAGTTAGATTATTTTTAGATCAATAATATTTTCCATTCATTATTGAGAAACCAATTTACAAAACTTTTCAATTGAGTTTAAAAAAGTTTCATCATAACATTTATTATATCTAAACTGACATTCCTTTTGGATTGTTTCAATATGTGTTGAAAGATGATTCAACACATATTTCTTGGTTTCATGAAAACATCTTAAACATAAAAAAAGAGAGAGTTTGATTAATTTTAGGCTCAATTGAAGCCAGACAGAGGGGAACCAAAGATGTCGCTTGAAAAAAGAAAAGTATTTAACGTAAAAGGACCACGTCCAAATTTATAAGAATTGGTTTTAATGAATGTTGATGTTTTTTAATGAATTCCCAGATTTGATGGGAACATCTTAAAGGTGTCCTTTAAATGCTCAGGTCTGATCTAGCCATAAGTTATGAGGACAAGGAGGATCAGTTGTCAATAAAACATCAGCAAATGTAATACAGCTAGTCTATATCTGCTTGATTTATTTATTCGATTTATTCCTATGGAGTCCCTTTAGTATGTGGAAAGTCAGTCACTACTTATTATTTTGTTTCCGTGTCGAACGACAGTGTTGAATTTATTCCACGTAGACATAAGGCAATCCTGCTATAAAAAGAGCACTATCAAAGTGTAGCAAAGAAACTAGCTAGAGTGTTTTTATCTCCCATTTTAGAGCCTAATGTGCTTCAGCCTTGATAGAACGTCGATATGAAATAGAAGATTAAAAGCAAAATGACGGAGATAAATGCTGTAAGGAGTTACAGTTCCTGAGGATCAAAAAGAAAAAATAATCTCCTTTAGCAGCTAAGGCTTCCTTTTTTTCAGATGGCTATGTCTATTCAAGTGTAACAGTGAAGAAACTCTGCTTTTTGAACAAAGAGTTCCTATTGCTTCAGTATCCGTGTTAACTCCAGCCAGTAAGAACTAGTTTGGGAACAAAGCCAATGTTGGGATGAGGAAAAAAAAAAAAACGATGTTCTTTTGATAAAGATCCAAGTTATGATGGGAACAAATCAGGAAAGTGTCGAAGCAGCTGGAAGCTGAAACTTTAATAAGGGCTTTCTGTTATTAATATTCGGAGCTTTTGCTTTGCTTTACGCGACGTTCACTCATGATGTCCGAATTAATGCATTCTGTCATCCTTCTCATATGGCAGCCTGAGTGTCATTTGCAGGATGTGCCTTGGCATTGGTGGCAGCTCTTGCGTGCATCTTATCTGGCAAAACATCCAGCAGATTCAAAGGAGGGAGTGACTGTTTACGTATGAGATGAATGCTGAAGAAGAGACGCTTCCATCTGCTCTGATGCACTGACCAGTGATGACTTGTCTTTCCGCCAGTCTTTCATTTACAGAGGATCAATCCAATCTATTCTCTAGGGCCTCTGACAACAAATACTGGACTGAGGACTAGCAGAGCAGCTGTTGAACACACGCAGCAGTTCAGACAGAAGAGGACGGGCGAGAGTGATATTAAAACAAGCTCCTCCTCTCCTTCCTCCTTTCACAGGTGTAGGAGCTTGATTAGGGATTCCAAACTTTACCAGCATGAAGAGCAAAACCGACAAAGAGGAGCAGAAACATAAAGCAGATTGAAATCTGAGGTGTGTGAATATGTGATGTTAACAGCTACTGATGCTGCTGAGTGTATTTGGCAGAACAACAACTGGCATCTGTCTGTGCCCCATCTCTTCAGTCAGACAAAACACGGTTTGACAGTGTCTGTGTGTGCCCACTTTATAATGCACCACCACATCTGCTGTATGGTAAGATAATATTGGGGATTTAGACCATGCTCAGACTAGAGGCGAAACTGTTATGAGAACATGCAGACACCTCCCTCTAAACCTCTTACATATTATGCCGTTCCACCAGTGCCTTGGCATGATAATTACCCTCATCAGTGCCTCCCTCCTGGGACACACACGCACTACAAATGCACCTGGACACACACGTATAAAACATCTGCATAGTAATCTGTTGGCATAAAATGTGGAATTACACTGTTCTCTTTTTTTTTTTTTTGTCTATTCTCACACAGGTGAACAAGCACAGAAGTTAATTTATTTGCTGGTTAGCTGCCTGCTACATATAGAGAATGACAGGGAAACAGACACAAATGGATATATCTATATCCAACTGACCTGGACATCATACCCATTTTTTAAACTAAGACAGTCAGGATGTTTAAATGCAGAAAGTAGACCAGATCAATATTTACCATAAAAACTGCTCATAACTTTTCCTTCTTACTGTCTCACCTTAGGTCAATTAGTACAATACTTCAATGATTTATACATTTGAGAAAACTGAGAAAAAAATAAACTTTTCATACATACTTGATACTTAGTAAAACAAAATTTTAAACAATATGATTTTAAATAAAGGTTGTTCTTCTGTAAGCTTCTCAAAATAATTTTGACCCATTTCTTCTGCCAGAACTGGGACTGGGTAATGTTTATAAAACTCTCTCCCCTGGTCTGCCCACAAATCTTTGGGCTTTGCACCCTCACGTTATTTTTGTCTGGCATTCAAATCTATTTTGCATCTAAAAAAAATGTTTAAAGGTAAAGCAAGCAAACAAGACATCTATAAAGAGTAAATCAGAATGTGTTTAGAAGTTTCTCACTTATTAAAATCAGAATGATCTCCGATGGCATCTAAATCCAACCAGCTTTATGAACTGATGAGGTACCTTTGGATTCATTTGCCATCAGATCTTGACGACGCTGAATTGCTATAAAAGTTTGTCTCTTTGAACCCTTAGATTATAGTGTTTAATGTGCATTTTTTGAAGAATGGACTTCCAGATTTTTTTGTGACATGCAAATATATTATATATATAAAAGATAGGACACTCTATACAAATATGTTATATAACATAACATGTTAACATCATTGTATGTTAGCATCACACACTCAAAGCTAAAAAAACTATTCCCAACCAGCTGCGTTTATTTCTGTTATGAATGGGGATCTGGACAGTCTGAAAGCAGCGGTTGGCTAATCATTACATATTATGCCTCAACATGTAGAAAAAATGTTCAGGTTGCAAGTGACAATTTAGTGATCCTTTCTAATAGCGCTCTGGGCATTTACCCATGCAGTACCTGTCAAATTTTATAGCTAAGCATACCAAAAATTACACATAATGTTTAAAAGCATAAAAGAAGACATCTAAGGATGTCTTTTTTGCCCATTTTCCAAATCTGAATGTATATTGCCAGTCCAAATGCTTATATCAGAGGGATCTGAGCTGAGCAGTCACAGTGGATTAACTGAAAGTGGCTACGAGCTCTATTTCAATGATTAGTGCTGTTACATAACGCAAGCTACTGTCACACAGTAGTGTGTGTTTTTTTCATATTATACATCCATCAGTCTTCTGTCTATACTGAATTTTCAGTAAATGGGTGTGAGATGTGGGGGTTTTGGGCAGATCATCACTGGGGGAGAGATGGGAAAAAAAAGCGCTAAAAAGGTCACAAGTCCATCACAGGAAAACACAGGATAAACATCATTTATTCACTAACTCATTATAAAACCCATATCTCTGCATCTCTACACTTTTTAATATACTTAAAAAAATCTTTTATGGGCAAAATTGACTTTATAGGTTTAAAATAAATGTTTATATTTAATCATGTTTAACTTTCAGGGATTATAAGTTTATTTGTGGCTCTAGTGACTTTTATTTCGAATGCAATTACAGGAAATAGGCTGGGGGACATGCAGGAAGGGTCACTTTGGGTTTCAACCTAGAACAGCTGCATGACGACTGATTGGTTTACCCTCCCAGCCAGGATGTTTCAACTTTTTGCTGGTGGTTGTGACGTCAAGTTCCAATAAATCCACATACATATAAGACGTTACTATGTCAAAATTGCATCACAAAGGCTTTCATTAACATGCTATCAAATAAATTTTTAATTTAAAGCCCCATAAATAATAATATCACACAATGCTATTTTACACTTTTCTTATACATGTTAGCTCTTACCTCTGTGTTTCAGCGCTGTATTGACCCCTGCCCACTTGATTGACAGCACAGAGCCTGAACTGGTAGGTTCTGGCAGGAGTAAGCCCGCCCACCGATACCTCGCTCACTGCGGGATCCACCTCCGATAGGTAGACCTTCCATGGAGAATCTAGACACAATGCCCGGAGATTAGAGGCTGATAGCGTCGGGCTGAAGCAGGACAAACAGGGACACAGTAGCACTCAGGACATTAATCACCAGGACTGACAGAGGGACCAGAAAGAAAGGCTAACAACAGGAGGAGAGCCAAGCAGGGGAGGAATACAAAGAATGCAACAAGAAACAAACTTTAAAAGGGAAGATCAGAATTAGTTAAGAAGCACAGATGCTGCTGTATGTTGCTGCCAGCTTATCATTTGCTGAATAAACCACAGACAGATGCACTATTATCCCTATTATCGCATCAGCCTCCTGGGTATCAGTGTAAGTGAGAAGGATAGTGTACAAGCCAAGCATATTAGAGTCGTTGTCTGATATGAAAATACTTGTATTTACACTGCTGCAGTGTCTCTAAAGTACAGTAGAAAAAAAATCTAATCAGTGTTCAAAAACTGCAATCCATTCCTCACTGTCTGGCTTTCTCCACTGAAATCGACCAGTCAATTAAGCTCCCTCTTTTTCTCATTCTTTTCCTCATCGCCCCCAAGCTACTGCCGCATTATATCCCTACTCTCCCATGATAATTTTGGTTCAATTTTGTCGTCTCAACATGGCAGCTGTTAAATGATACCAGCACAGGTGTATCTCATTAAAAGTTTTTCAAAATGAGGATTACCAACTGATATTTGTTCATTAGTACCAATTCTTTAGTTTTATGCATAATGCCTGGCTAAGCATGTAAAGGCTCGCCAGTAGATCCCCTTAGCTTGCAGCCATCTCTCTCTCTTTCTCCCATCTGTTTCCTCTGTCATTCTTTTCCTTCGTTTCCCTATCCTCTCCGCAACTCTCTCCCTCCCTTCTCCATTTGAAAGGGAGCCAACCTGCTGTTATAACATCTGTGGTGGAGAGAGGCCGGGACTCAAAAGAGGAAGAGAGCGAGAGGGGGTAAGGAAGGGCTAGAAAATAGGAGCTCAACAGCAACCTGTGCGTTTATGCTGGAACGCTGTTCTCCATATGTATGTCTCTTGTAAATGAGTGCATTTAAGTGCATGTCACTTCCTAGTAGACAGCCAGTGAACAGATGTATGCCTCTTAGGAAATATAAAGGATTCCCAGGGGATTGACACATTTAAATATACACACAAACTTACTGTTCTCTGATAGCTCCAACACATAGTAGAGCAGAGGGGAGTTTCCATCAAAGGGCCGCAGCCAGGACAGGTGGACGGAGCGGGAGTCTGAGTCATTGAGACGAGTCGTTAGGGAGCGGGGGGAATGCGGTAGTTCACTGAGCAAAAATAGGAGAAGAATATAAGAAGAAAAATATCTGTTCAGATTTTACAGCATATTTATTTTTTCATGATTTAATGTCTATACATGGCAGTCTCTTTCTAGTACTCAGATTTACTTTCAAGCATTTACAGACACCTGCAAGAGGCTCTAAACTCTTGTCAAGTTAAATCCACAAACTTTATTGTACGGTATTTTATTCACTTTACCTGCAAATCCAACACAGTGTAGAATTAATGTCTAACATTTTTACAAACAAAAACCTGAAAGTATGGTGTGTATGAATTTTTGCTACTCCTCTAGAGTTGGTGCAGCAGAGTAGAGTCGTCCTATTGGCAGATTATCCCACCTGAACCATGGGTCTCTGTAGCTTCTCCAGGGTTACAAGTCCCTGTTGGCTGCTTTTCTGGTTAACCCTCTACTATCAAATTAGGTGGAGGGCAATCAAATTCTTTTTATTTTTAAAGGACAGTTTCAGCAGCGCTTAGTGAAACATTCAGTGTGTGGGATGTAACCTAACCCTGCCTAAAAGTGCTATAAATCTTTCTTCCTAGAATTTGTTTCTAGTTATTTATGTATTTATGAATTTGTTTCTAGTTATTTATGTGGCTATTTTGTTTAAGTTTACCGCAACTGATCAATCAATCAAGCACTTTACAACAACACCAGGAAACCAAAGTACTTCACAGAAAGATAAAAACATTGCAAAAAAAAAAAAAAAAAAAAAACGAAAATCATAAGCATAAAACAATGTTTCGTAAGTATTAAAAGCTAGTTTGAAAAAAATATCAGTCTTTTATCTGGACTGGACCAGGAGCCAGTGCAGGGAGGAGAGGATGGGAGTGATGTGGCTTTGCCTGGATGAGCCAGAGAGAAGACGAGCTGCTGCATTCTGTACTAACTGGAACCATTGGACTGATGACTATGGGAGGCCAGAGTAGAAATCATTGCAATAGTCCAACCGAGAACTTATAAATGCGTGAATAGCCTTCTCCAGGTCTTGGCGTGAGAGAAAGGGTTTCAGCTTGGTCAAAAGGCACAGCTGGGAAACGCTAGCTTTGACAACATCATTTATTTGTTGTTTGAAGTTCAGTTCACGGTTGAAGACAACTCCCATGTTCCTGATAGCACCAACAGTATTTAACTGATTGGTTGATGTTTTAAAGCAAATGGTTGAACTGGAATTCATTTATTTTCTCCAAAGCAGAGGTATACAAACTTTTTTTTTTCTGAAAACCCCTCTCCTAATTTAAAAACAATTGTCACACTTTGTGTTGGTTTATCAATGTTATGTGAAGTTTGGGTTTGTAATGTGACATGAAAAAGTTGAATGAGTATCAACGATAACCGCTTAAGGTGGAATAGAAGGAAGACTATTTGAATTGGATATTTAAGGTCACTCTGCATCTGTGACACATGCTTCTTCTTAACGTTTTGTGGATTTTATTTTACCAACCACTTGACTTGCAATGAAATTTTGACTGCTGTAGATGGCCGCAATGTTCACTTTCTATCGTTTAAAATTAATATATTTTAACTGTTCCCTTCCAAAACTGAAAAAAAAACAAAAAACAATTTTGATAGAATCAGAACTTTTGTTAGAAACAGCCTTGCTTCACAGCACCCTCTCTTTTGAATTTTTTCAAAACATTTAGTTCTTGTTACCTGTATGCATTTCATTTCCCACCTTTAGGTAAGCAGAACAAGAAGGATTGCAATACATGACGAAAAATATGTTAAAGCACTAAATAAAATGTAAAATCAAATAATTTTTATTCATGTTTTTTTCAGATACACTGGAGTCTAAACACTAAAGTGGAAACCGTTTAAAGGGACACTATGCAACATTTTTCAGTTAATTAATGTGTTCCATAACGTTTTGGATGACTAAATGAGTCATTTCAGGTTGAACAAAGGTATTCTCGGCCGCCCTGGTGGTCTGTGGGGGAAATACTGCACTTGCAACTGCAGGAGCACCGACCCGCACCCACAGGCTCAGAAGTCTCGTGAGAGTCAGTCTTGCTTTACGGCGAGAACTGCTACACCCCCCAGTTAAAAGCATTCTCGTTGCTAGCACAGTGGCGATCTTTGTGCAGTTATGCTACGTTCACGCAGCAAAATCAGCAAAATCGCGTCTGCTGCTTCCTTTTTGCTGCTTGTACCAGTTAGTTCTGACTCGTGGGTGAAGCAGCTTTGCTGCTCTGGCTGTGTATGAGGCGCGTTGGGCGGAGCTTCACTATCCTTTCTCTGCCTTGCAGCTATATTTGCTGTGATCAGTGGGAATAAAGTAGTTTTAATATGTGTTTAAGTGAGAAAATACACCTGAAAACGTAATCAGTGCAGTCAGTTCATTCAGATTATTATCCTGCCTTCAATATTTTTTCTGTCGGAGCCGCTCAGACCCCCACATACCAGCGGGGCGCCAACAGTATGGATCCCTTCATCAGCAGCGGTTTACCGCGGCAGCTGGTAGGTGTTTTTCATCTAAATAATCCAAACTGCATATTCTGCCGGCAGATTTCTGCATTTTAAGTTAATTTAGGCGTCAATAAACTGTTTAAGAGGAGAGATCATCAGCGCTGTGTCTCTCTCCCTGCGTTAAACGCACCAACGCGCTGCTTCAGCTGCTCAGACGTGCTGCGCCTGGTGCTCAAAACGCGCCGCGGGACCTTTTGTTGCGCCTTGACGCGCGTCAACCATTGACTTTGCATGTAAACTCGCTGCTTCTGTCGCGCCAGCTACGCCCAGTGTGAACGCAGCGTTAGTCATTCGCTGCTAAGCTCAAAACAACCGCGCCTGGCTTGACGGAGAAACCAGGAGAACAGCTGTGCATATTTACGACAGTGCACTTTTACTTTCGCCCTCTGGAGGGAGCCTCTCTGGAAAATCAACACCGGTTGCATAGTGTACCTTTAATCGCAGCCATAAAATGACATTCCCAAATAGGGCTAGAGATGTCTGTGCAGACAATTTTTAAGATGAGACAGTTGGCACTGAGATCTGAAAGATCAGTCACTTCTGCCCACCAGCAGCTTTTTCTTATATCTTGTAAAAATTTGGAAAAACACCTAATATATCACAGCATAACACCTGATATGTTAATTGGTGAATTTTGCATCAGCTTGTGAGATTTTTTTCTGGCATTCTTAAATAAGGCATTTCTCCCAGTTTCTGTTTCTTCTGCAAAGCCATTATAAATAAGGGTCTTTTATTGGCTTTAAATTTGCATTTGGACAGACTGCCTCATATCTACATTAATGCACCGAGCCTTACTTTAACTTATAAGCATTTCTCACAAAATATGCAACATTTGTAGTGACAGCACACTAAAAAGATGTTTTCCCCAGTGTTATTATTCTGCTTTATAATCCATTTTGTCTTTGGCATTCCAGTTAATTCTCAGTTTAGGTCCAGGATCAGTTATATCTATTATTGTTTTGCCTGGCATATTCCTATTCTTTACATGCTTTGCAACACCACAAATACATCTCTTTGCATCTATTAAAAATAAATTTTCCAGACGTTTTTCCATCCCCTGCAGAAATGTGTGCATCTGTGCCGTGTTATTAACAAGAAATCTCCACGGATATATTCATGAAAGCAATAAAGAGAAAGCAGACATCTGATTATAGCAATTTTAGAGCATCATAATTCTCTTTAAACATCTTTTGCTTGCAGGGAAATGTGGAAAAGAAAGCAGAAGGCAGCAGTTGTCTGCGTGAAGGCTGCAGGTGCTGAAAGAATTCAAGATATTTACAGTCAACATAAAAAACACCGGTATAAATATATTAATGAAGAAACCGTGATAAAAAGGATCGTTATGTTTGCTCAGGGTCACTACTTGCCATTTCCATAAGGTCATTAATTATTTCTATGCAATCATAGATCTGAATATAACGTCTCTGAGATGGAGTCATTAGATAAAGAAGGGTTACATGTGTTTAACATCTTTTTGCAGTTTACCTTTAAATTAAAGTTTAAAGGCGCTGAAATTAAGCACAGATAAGGCAGAGAGATGGCAGCATGCAAGACTGAAAAATAAGTTTTATCATGCATTTTGCTAATTGACATTCAATAATTTCCCAGAGTTTCTGTTACTTCCTTCAATGCAGGTAATTACTATGTTTATTCCAGTCCATCTTTATATGGAAAATACACAAAAAAATAAAAAATGGATGCATGGATGGAAAATACATTTCCAATGTTTTATTTTTATTTTTTAGACAGCACAGGAGTCCTGTACATCATTACTGTTTGAGCAGCGCATCAATCCACTGCGGCTCTGAATGAAACAACAAGACAGCCGGAGGAAATAAAAAGGTTTTCATTTCTGAGCTGACATGATCATATTAATTACGGGATGAAATCAGAGAATGTCAGAGCAACTACCTTAACAACCCATCCTACCAAACAACATGCATACACTCTCACAGACACATGAATGGGTCTTATGGGAGTTGAACCAATAACCTGCTGGTAATTAGTCTGTCTCCTCAGCCGCCAGCGTCTGTTAGCCTCTATGACCCGTTGATACAGAGCTAACGAGAATGTCAGTCACACACGTGGCTGCATGCAAGCACACACGCATGCACAGACACACACTGGTGCAGGAAGCTGAGCAGAAATCCCTTCATTCCCCTCATGTTTTCACACAGCTGTAAACACAGATCTGCTCCCTCCCGCTGTGTTTGACATGTGTAACCTCCTTTCTCTCCATAATTTAGATGGATGTGGACTCACGATCCGTCTCTCTCCTTTTCCTACCCTTCAATTATATTAATATATCATAAGTACCTTTTCATAAATATATTATCAAAGTGCCTATTAATATATAAAGGCCTCTACCTGTTCTTTTACAGCAGCCGTAATGAGGCTGCGTGGGTCGGAGCGTAGGCTACATTGTGTGTGGCGTGTTTTGTGAATGCCAGGAATGTCAGACTAAGCGTGGAACTCTTGGAAACTGTTCACTAGAACAAAACGAAGGTATGCAAATACAAAGACAGCTCTCCCATACCAGATCATAAATAAACTGTTTTTATTTGGCTCTAAAACTGTATTTATCCAACCAAACAGTGTAAGGATGCACAAAACTTCGGAGGTAAGATAGTTATGTCTGCACTAAATCTGGGACATAGGTTTGGTGTAAGGAAGCCTTCTAACAGTCTATGCATGACATGGTCCCTTAAAGCATAAAGCACAATATAATTTGAAGCAATTCTAGCAGAAAAGACGTCAGTAGCAGCTCATTATGCCCATCTTTATGGACCTCATCTACACTGAAAAAAATATAAATCTAAATAGGTATTTTTTCTTTACAATAGGGTAAATATATTTAATTCAAGATATTTTTTCTTATCTAAGCCTAGATAATTTTTCGGTGTAATACTGCCAATAATCAGAGTGCAACACACAGGGTCTCATAGATTTCAGTGAAAAGAAATACTATTGGTGTGTAACTAAAAATTAGATGCTCTATGATGTTGACTGATTACTAGACTCTCACACTTTTCGTAAAATTGCTGAAAACAAATAATTATCACAATCTTCCTAAAGACACTGGCATTTATCTTTTGGGATTTTCATGCTACAAATCAGCAAAGTATTACTGCAGAGCAATAACAGCTAGAATAGGAACCCTTTTTGTATCGCTTCATAGGGAGGTGTCTTTCCTGTCAATCATATCTACAATTTGAATCAAAAGAACGCAGAAAAACGGTTTCTGTGTGAATTGATGGCACAGTGAAAAATCTGTTTTGTCTGCCTGAGAAAAGCAATTCATGATGTTGGATAAAAGTGGTAAATATAAATTCTGAAAGCAGAATAACTCTAAGGGAAAACCACATATAAAGAACAAAAATGTTTCACAAATCAACTTCTGCAATTTTAGTGAAAAGAATTGTTTCTTTTGTTGTTAAAAGTTAATAAAAATAACTTTATTCATCTGCACAGAATGTGTTAGGAGTTTGCCACTGGGGTATTGCGCAGCTATAATTACACTAGAATCCTTAAATACAACTTTTAATACATTTTTGTGTCAACATTATGGCATTCAATTAAGGAATCATGCAGAGGGTAAAGGATGACCTTGTGCAATATCTCATTTGTCTCCTATATAAGCACTATCCACAAACACTCAGATAAGCTATATAGAAGGCATTGGACTTTTCTATCAAATTTCCTCTCTGCTTTCAGTGCTACTTACTTTCATGGGCAAGGTAGTATTTTTAAACACTACCAAGTAAAGTTTGCCAACAGCAAAGAAGCTGAAATGCCTTCTGATTGCTTAAGGGCGTGTGGATATGAGGAAACTGGTTTTTTAGACTTTTTTAACCAATCCATCCATTTTCTCCCGCTTAGTCCTTTTCAGAATCATGTTGGGGTCGGTGTCTAACTCCGGCAGTCTGTAGGCGAGAGGAAGGGAACACCCTGGACAGGTCACCGGTCTGTCACAGGGCAAAATAGACACACACAAAGACACACAACCATGCACACACACAACTCAGAACAATTTAAAGAAGCTATTAATGTATATCATGTTTTTGAAATGTGGAAAGCAAGAGTACCTGGAGAGAACCCAGGCATGCACGGAGAGAAATGCAAACTGCAGTAAGGCCCCTAGCCAAGAATCAAACCCAGAACCTTCTTGCTGCAAGGCAACAGTGCTACCCACTGCTCCACTGTGCAGACCCCTGTCTATTAATGAAAATTATTTATTTTTTTCAATTTATTTATTTTTTGCTTTTTTATTATTTTTTTTATTTTTATTTTTATTTCTGTTCAGGTTTTTGTTGCAGTTCAATCTGTTGGTATACAAATATTGACAATGCTACATTATACTAGCCACAAATATGTAAATAAATAAACTATGTTTTAGCTTTTTAAAGAGTGAAGACATATATATTATGTGTCATGAGTTTTGAGAACATGACATCCAGACTAAAAATCGATTTCAAATCTTCCACAGGGGTTAAAGGTTTATCAGCACACTGATTTCAGTGTCAGAGACATATAGAGAACATGTCTGAAATGCACATCAATTACATGAAAATTCCTTAAATTGCAAAGAAAAAAAAGGAGTCTTGCGAATCCGCTTTGGTAAATTATTGATAAAACTTACATGACCTCCAGGCGTGCTGATCGGGAGTCGTTGCCTGCCTTTGACGTCACGCTGCAGGTGTAATCCCCGATGTCACCAGACCAGGTCTGGCTTATAGTCAAAGATCCTCGCCTCACAGAAACACGGCCACCGCTGCTCGCCAGCACCGGCACACCGCCACGATCCCACTTGAAACTACAAAAAAATGTATCAGCTCAGTAAAGGAGGATCAAGTAAATTAGAGACATATTTATTTGACTGCACTGAACACCTACTTGATATTAATTCTGGGGTCATGAGTGGCATTACAGGCCAGAACAGCAGTGGTTCCTTTGATTACACGCCGGTCCTCTGGAGGCACAGAAATAACTGTGCGACCTAAGAAATAGTGAAAATGTAGAAAGTGCTTGATGAATAGCATACATAAAGGCTTTTAAAAATGCATCATATACATATGTGAGAACACAAGAACACTTGATGACCTGTCAGACACCTACTCACTCCCTTAGAGAGCACTTGACTGCTGCTTGGCTTCACTCAAGTAGTTCACAAAATATAAAATAAAATGCACTAATAAAAAATAGCTTCAGAGATGTCAGGGTTGTTTTTTTAAATCGATGAAATATCTATGATAGGATTATTTGCAATGGATGGTTTTGAAGTAGAAGGAAATTGAGACATGTTTCAAACAATTCTTTACAAATATCGCTGTTAAAGTGTGGGCTGAACATCAAAAGCCCTTTAATTAGTAAATACAGTTGGCTTGTGTGTAATTCATAATACATACACAGTGAAAGGTAGATCTGCAAAGTATTGACTAAGTGTAAATGCATGCCACAGTCACATCCTGGATGGTTAGTCATGCATTCCACATATTTGTACTTCAAGGAAGAAAGCTATTGTTAGACGACAGCAATAAGCAGCTCTGATTGCCACAACACATGCAGAGGAACAAAGCCAACATATAGATGAAGGTGAGTAGATGCACATCAATAGACCTCAGTAGTAGGTACAGACATAACCATGTAAAAGTTAGAAAGACAGCTAGTGTTTATCTGTTGTCCCTTTGCAAGTGATATGTATATATATACCGGTATATACATAATGGCCATCAAGGTGGTCTAGAACAAAGCATACCCATGTGTTAGAACGGTCTAGTAAGTATTAAATCATTTAGAGAATCTGTTAAAATCATGACATGGAGTTTGATCTTCTCAGAGACTAATTCCAGCCTGAGTGATTTGGACTTTTTGAAAATCTAAATCTTGGTAAAACTTTTCAGACTCATGGGCCAAAACAATTTCTGTTGTTATTATAGCAACAAGAAGAGACTATATGAAAGATTGACACTGGAGGATATAGCAGCACACATTTATTAATTAGACCCTTTTAATATCATGAAATATTTTACTTTTGTTTCATTATTATGAACAACTTTGTGTTGGTCTATCTTACTGAGACCTCATTAAACCCATTACACTTTTTGGCAAAACAAATTGACTAGGTTGGCAAGGCAGCTGCCCATCGACTTGTATTTTTTTCTAAAACTGTCAATTTGAACACATTAATGCTAAAATAGATATATAATCCTTGCCAGATATGGCAAATACATTGAACAAATTCTCTGCAGCATAAACTTATGCACCAACAACAAATTGTTCAGCTTTTCACTTTCCTGTCCTAACACAACCGGACAGGTAGAGATAGATAAACTAATGTTCCAAGCCTGTTATTTGTCTCTCTGACAAATGCACATTGAGCTGTTTACCGATCCTTGTTTGTGTGTGCATGTGTCTTACTCCACACGGTGAGCACTGCAGTGGCGTTGATGGTTCCCTCAGAGTTGGACACGATACAGGTGAATTCTCCCGAATCCTGGAAACTGACCGGCTGAATCTGCAAACCACCTGACTGCAAAAGTGTGAACCTGGGAACTTGAACTGAGCCGCTGGCTATGACCTGAGATCCTACAGAGTGAGAAAACAATAAATCAGCCCTGAGGGAATGACAGGGAGTAAGTCATTATGCCCATTTCAATTGCTAACACAAGACTTTAGTATGGCAGCTGTGTGTGCAGTGGATTGCGTGGCTCAGCACCTTTCCTCCAGGTAATGGCAGGTTTCGGAGCACCACTGTTCTGACAGGTAAACAAAGCTGTGTCGCCATCGGTTACCGTCTGGTCAGATGGAGGGGACAGAAGTGTTGGAGCCACACCTGAAACACAGCAAAATAATAAGAGAAGAAAGGCAAGACAGAGGATTGCTAAAACCAAAGCTAAAGAGAGAACTAACTCTAAAACTCAGCAGCTAAAGTGAAAAATGAAAATGGAAATGATGTCAGTGTTGATCTAAACCTCAGAGTAGCATCTCTGATCAATGAGGTCTTTATTTACTACCTGGTGCTACGTGAGTGTGCATAAATATGAGCAGCAGTTTGTAGGGAAGAAACATGGGTATATTTAATTATAGTAAATGTTTACAAAACAGAATATAAATGTAGATAAGTTTAGTCAATGTAGGGTTTTTTGTTTAAAAAATAAAAGTAGAGTTTTTTTAATAACACTTTGTTTAATTCTAATGCTGCGTCTTATAAAAGCTGACAAAAAGCGACTCACTGAATCAGAACATTGGATTTGAAATTAATATACTATATCTATATATCTGTCTCTGCAGTAACACAAAATGCAAACCGTGTAACAGTTTCTTTATTGTTTATACTGGAAATAGCTATCACTATATACAGTATTCTGTATATTCTCCCCTACATATTTTACTCTTACTTAACATTATGCAAGAAATTGTGCCTGCAGCACCTTAGAAAGTACTGCAAGCCCCCCTGCAGACTAGCTCCAACTTCATCTAAATATGATGATATCAAAGGGGTTTTATGGGGCTATGGCAAAACATCAAGTGATATACTGTACTCACTACAATAGCAGGCATCCTCAGTAAACAAACATGCATATAATGATACGTTTTTGTGGGGTTGCCTTCATACCAAGGTCTGTCGTAAAAACAAGACTTTTATTGGGGCAAAGAAAAGCAGTGTTTGTGGGGTGAGGGTAGGAGGGGTACTTGGTCCCTCAGGTGAAGTGAATATACTCTGAATACCTTAATAGGCCAAGAGGTTTTAGACCATTCCAAGGTCCCAAGCTTTCAGAGTAATTTTAACAAAGCTCCTTTTTCCAACACACTGTGCCCCAGCATATAAAACAAGGCACGGAGGAGAGAGTCTGGTGGGTATTTGCTTCACTGGCCTGCACCAACTACTGACCTCAACCAGACAGGACACCTTTGGGATGAATTTCAAACTGAGAATCAGGTCTTCTGTTCAACATCAGTCAGTGACCTAAAAAATGTGCTTCTGGAAGAATGGTCAAACTTTGCCATATAAATTCCTCTAAACCTTGTTGATTGCCATCCCACCAGAGCTGAAGCTGATATAGCTGCAAAGGGTGAGCCTGCCTCATACTGAAACCTGTGTATTAGGAACAGAATGTGCCCTAAATTCATACTCAGGTCAACAAAGCTGAGTGGACACCTTAGGAAATACAGTTTATATAGGGATAATCATTTTTTAGGTTTAGTAGAACTGATATGTTTCAGAATTTAAAACATTGTTCTGTAGCTATGAAAATTATTTACAACATGGTATATCATCTCTGCAACCATTGAAAACAATTAAAGTATCACTAAACATATGAAAGTCATAAATCAATGCTATCTTCTCCCGCTAAACCCTTTTACTGCCTGGTCAACCTCCAATCTGCAGTTCGCCGAGCAAACGGTCAACCAAATGGTTGATCAGGCAGTTAATGGATTAACACTGGGGCTGGCTCCAGCAATCTATGGGTGAAAGGCAGGGTACAAACTACTGGACAGGTCGCCAGTTCCTCACAGGGCAACACAGAGACGCACGTCCATGCAGACACACTCATAGCTTAATAGAATTAGAGATGCCATTTAACCTAACAGTCATGTTTTTGGATTGCGGGAGGAAGCCGGAGTGCCGGAGAGAATACAGAAAGACCCTGGGCTGGGAATCGAACTAGGACCTTGTTGCTGCAAAGCAGGGTCAATAGGCAGTTAAATAAATAATCCAGGTAAATAACGAAAATGATAATGTAGCAAGCAGAAGACAAAAGAACACTTCTGTTTATGTACATGCTTCTGAGTTGATGTCAGGAAAACTTACTTGAAACAACAAGCTCGGTGTGTGCCTGAGCCTCTCCTGCAGGGCTGCGAGCAAAGCACTGGAATATTCCTCCATCTCCTGGCTGAACCCTACGCACCGTCAGTCCAATGGCTGAGCTGACCTTGTAGCGAGTGTTTGCCAGTTTGGAAAGAGGCACTGCGTCCTTATACCACTCGATCCTTGGCTGTGGCACGCCTACATACGACCAGAGATATTAAAACAAAACACAACAAAATAAAACGGAAACCTTTAGAAAGTTTCACTTATAAAAAGCCAGTTGACCTCACTGCTGAGGTAACTACACCAACTCCCACTGTGGCAGTCATACACTTTCTTTCCACCATCTTTCCCAATCTGCCTCTATAAATATGCATGTGGGCATAATGAGTGTTAATAATATATTGATTGGAGGATGTGGGTGGTGGAGTAGGGGTGGCAGAATTGGCCTGAAAACATTCTGAATAAAAGATGCAGATAAGTGCAGGACAGCAAATATCTACTGTATCAGCACCGACCTGTCTGACCGACATACCAGATATGACGGGCAGCAAACTCATGCAATTACTCTGTCTGAACCTTTCACACCTGTGTGTGTGTGTATGTGTGTGTGACGGGGAGAGAGATGGACCTCAGACTCTCTCAATCTGTTGTTGTCAAGCTTTCACAGACACACGCGTGAAATATTTCTCACCCCCTGCTTGTCTCACTCGCTCTGTCACTCTGTCTTTTTTCCTTGGCTCGTTTCTGCTCCTAGCCTCCATCTTTCTCTCCCAAGCCCCAGGCCTCTGCTATTTAATTACACTGCCACTGTATCAGATTACTGAAGAGGAACATGAACTCCCTCAGTGTGTGTGAGAGAGGGAGTGAAGAGGGAATGAGAGACGAGCATGTTGCAGTTTTGAGGACCATGCCCAACTCTGCTAGTATGTAAGTGTTTTCATGTAATCCATTTAAAGATAAGAGACATGAACAAGTGCAATTTTCCAAGCATGAGTTTAGCCGATCAGTATGCTCACGCTTCTAAAGGCCCAGCTTTTAGAACTGTGAAATCTTCAAGGTAAAACATTTTGCGACAAACTGAACAATGGTCAACAGAGCCATCATGGAGGACGGACAGAGTAACCTCACAAGACCTGAAAGGAGAATGTTTCCAAACACAGGGTGCAACGTTGTGATTCAAAGTCTTCATTCGATGATTTATTAGATCCATGAATCCATGAAGCAAGAATCTGAAGCAGCTCCTGTTGGCGCATCTACGAAGATCTATAAACAACCTATGATTCGGCAAATAAATATCACCACAATTAACAGACTGCGAATGACTCTTGAAGGACTTCTCCATGTCTAGCTATGCTATAAGCTTGCAGTCAATGCCCTACACCCCCCTCCTTTGTTGCTCTCTGCTGCAGTACATCTGATTCAAATAATTGTATGATCTCCTGCACAGCCATCAAGTGCTGCAGAAGCCTGTTCATCATTAATTCATAAAAGCCAGGTGTGTTGCAGGAAGGAGACCCCTAAAGAACGCAGGTACTGGAAGCACGCTCCATACCATCAGCTGTAGCCATAACCAATTTAATTACAACACTGCAAGTACTTATTCCTGTTGTTAATGAATGCTAAACTACTTTGCATAAAATTAATAAAAGACTTTTCTGAGAGAATTGGATGTGTTTTACATTCCCGTTGTTAAATTGCTTGTCTGACTTCATCATCGGCCATGCTCAGAGCAGTCTGGACAAAGATGTTTAAACTGTGTTTAATCTGTATTTCAGTTGTGTCTTTCTTTAGATTAAGCACTATATATAAAAGTACAAAGAAATTATGCAAATATAACATTCAAACTATTACAATCATAACACATTTGCAAAGCTGAAAAATGAGCCAGAATTGTAATAACAATTGTGTAATAATACTGCAATAACTTATTTATCTATTTAACAAACCAGAAACCACACTTTACCTGCCACCACTTTACTGTACATAAGATACTGTCACCTTAAATCTCTCCTTTATTTCTTACCATTGACTGTACGAATCTGGATGCACAGTTTATACTTCATGCACCTTTTTCTCCTCTGTGCACCTTGTTTTTTTTTTTATAAGAACCAATGTCACAAGTGAATTTCTCCATTGTGAGATCACTACATTTCTATTCATTCATTTATTCAGAAGTTGGGTAGGATCCCAATGCTGGGACCGATCGTGCACAAACACGTGATATAACAGAAAGGATGTAAACACATTTATTTTCTCAGAAAAAAAAAAAAGTTATTAAACATCTGCACATTGTGTTTGGTATGCTATTTTATTAGGGTGAGAAAAAAATTTTATTTTTTGGCCCCAAATTTATTCTGGTTTGCATGAGTAAATGTGTTTATGTTACAGATTATATTGCCAGTGCAGACTGGGTAATGTCAAGCATGATTGAGAACCACCAGTCCCAGTAAATATACATATATCTAATGGCTAAATTACCAGTCTCACATAGGATGCATGTTCTGCAGTCTAGCTAAAAAGCAAACAATTACATTAGTGACTTCCTCAATAACAGGCCTCAGAGGGGTCAGGAGAAGGAAATTCACATCCGTCTCATTGATCCTCAACATTGGCATACCGAATGATTGCTTTCTTAACCCTAACCTCTACTCTCTTCATACACGACTACACAACCAGACACACAACAAATATGGTTGTGGGGTTTATTCGTGACACCACTATGGTGGAGGTCATATCCAACAATGATGAGAACCGTTACAGAGACAAGAGCCAAAATCTGACACGGCGGTTTTCAAACAATAACATTATCCTCAATGCAAGCAGAACTAAACAGATCACAGTGGATTAGAGGGGGACTGGGAAAACTGAACACGCTCCTCTCTGCATACAGGGGGAGGTGTGAAGCATGTGGACAGCATAGAGATCCTGGGCATTCGCATTTCCTCTAACCTCTTGTGGACTGAGAGCACCTCCACCTGATGAAGCAGAGGACCCAACAACAACTCTTTTTTCTCAGGAAGTTAAGGCAAGCTTGCCTCTTCTCTCAGCTGCCAACAAATATCAGATCGACTACTGGAAGCATCCTGTGTCTCAGGATGAGAGTGTGGTATGGGAGCTGCATGGCACAGGATAGGAAACACAATGCAGGTTCCACCAGATGCTTGCCACATATCCCACCCACCCGCATAAACAATGCCATGTTTTTTTTCATTGTCATCAGGGGAATGATGAAACTGAATTAAATCCAGAATAAACTTAAAAATTGTTTCTCTCCCCCAGAGCTGCAAATGCAAACCTTACTGTAAACAAAACTAAAACCCCAAACCACACAGTGTCAGCTTCACACACACGTGTGCACCCTTTGTCAGACACAGCTATTCAAAAAGGCCTATTTAATTTTTAGTTTTCAAATCACTGCGTTATACTTTTCTTAACAGAACCTTAATTTAACCAGTTAAAATCCAGTCAAAATTAAAATCATATATGTTGTTATGAGTATTTCTACTGTACATAAATAGGAAAAATGCCAACTTATTTTAGTTAGTAACAGAAGAAAAATAAAATGCTTAAAACATCCCTATCTGTCTTGATACAGGAGCTAGATACTGAGAGTGAGACAGAGGCACGGACAGAGGACAAAGCTTCTTTGCTGTCGTGAAGGCTGCTATGCAGTTGAACATGAATTATAAAATGTCTAATATAATTAATATTTCCATGAAACGCCTTCTAGTCAGTTGTATGAACTTCATGGAAGCGTTCACCTATTTAAAAGCCTAAACTACACAATGGTTACCAGTGTAGGTAAAGTAGATGTTTGACAAATTCAAATGCACCAGAATCCAGGAAATGACATCTATTTCTTCTCACCACATTACATATGCTTATTGAAGACTGCAGCTCTGTAAGCCAAATAATATGTAAATTTAAGCACAAATGATGATTCTTTTGTACAGAATCTAATCTTAAATTAGATTTCTAGTGGAGATAAGAAGTCTTGATTGGAACATCACTAGATAAATCCTGGTTTGTCTAAGGCACTTACATAAATACAAACCATATAGAAGCTCTGTACCTGAAGCCTGGCAGGGTATTTCTACATTTCTGTCGAGATCAGCAAAGATTTTCTTTTTAGGTTGAACAGTCAGCGAAGGCGGCGCTGGAAAGAAAAAAAAAAGGTTTTATGAATACATTTTTTTGTCCAACTAAGTTTAGGTAAATGTATATTTAAAAAAAATAGAGCAGAATAAAAACCCTCTACCCAAGTGGTGCTGAACACAGATTTCCATTTCTGTGTTACTGGTGAATTGACTTCCATGCAATCTCAGAGAAACACATTCTCTAGTTATCCCTAGGGAAACAATCCCCCTTTTAACTGCTCTATTCTTCTGCCAATAATAATGGCTTCCTACAAACATCTCCGCTAGAACTGCTTTAAACGCTGACATAAGCTGAGACCTATATGGATAAAAAACAAAAAAAAAGTCTACCAAATAAGAACAACTACTCCCTTAAAATGCCAAAAAAAATAATAAAACAACCTTAATAATGAACTAAATCAAAAACTGGACCTTTATTATTGTATCTACTCCACAAATAAATTCAAATTTCATTTCAGGGTCTAAATTTGCACACATGGTTTTGACATTTTAACTAGAATGCCATCAATGGATATTTACTGTTTATCTGCCTGTACAATACACAAAAGGAAGAGGCAGAGTCATGCATAATTATAAGCAAATCAGGGCAAAATAAAAAAGAAATAAAATAATAATGAATACTTTTGAGGCAGAGAGACATACACTATTCTGTTTAGGAATCCTTCTTATTACACCAAGGTCTACTGAGCTTGTTCCAGAAAAAAAGATCTGTACCAATGTATTCATCAGTCTCTAGTCCTCGGATACAAATGAATCCATGCAGACTTTTCTGCTGTCAGGCAGGCCTTAAAAGAGCTGCTGGCCTAATGAAGGTAGATAATGTGGAGAGAGTGATTGCACTGGGAACACAGAGAGATGGAAGAAGAGGGTCCAAAAATTGGTTCTACATAGTGAGGGAGTGAATTGAAGGGGGGCACAGAAAGAGTACGAGTACAGAATCAATATTCAGGCAGATTTTTTCTGACTCAGTATTCTGTAGGCATGGGTAGTTCGTGCTCTCTTCTTAGATGCTCCTTTGCTCCGACAATCGCAGAAGATCAAAAGGAAACTCACAAACTGGGGGAGAAAAGTTTCGCCTCATCAATCACATGCTCCTTACTTTCTCACTTGTTGTGTGTCTCTGTGCACACATCGAGCACAGGAGTGGATTTTCATCAGGGATTTTTGATTCGGGAATTTTTCCATGTTCTCCCATTAATTACCGACTCCAGGGAACAAAACTAATCTAGAAGCTGAGTGAAAGAGCATGTGCATTTTTTTTTCTTTTCTGGTGGCACTAAATCGAATGAGAGTAAACACAAAGGACATGAAAAGATGTGTTTATGCTTAAATATAAAATGTGTTCCAAAGGCTTTCACACCCTACATGTGTTGGTATGTTTGAAACAACAAACTGGAAACTGTTGGGAATTTATTTACTAGACCAACAAAATAGTGATGATTATTGTGTGCACCTGTGATTTGCACCATTTAGTCATTTGGAGAACCAAACTAATCTGCAAAAATATTAACAAGTATTTTGGTGCATGTTTTTGCCAGCTTTTGCCACTGAGGTTCCCCCATACATCTTTTCCAAATGAACAAAGTTCAGATAGATTAAATGGGTCGATCTTTTTTCAGCCCTGCATGTAGCTGCATGTTTAAGGTTGGTGTCATACCAACCTTTTTGAAGCCTCCAGGATTATTATGTATTAAGCTCATTTCTTTAGCCTGTGGATCAGACAGCATAATGCAGTTACCCTAAACCTATCACTCTGGTTAGGGTCTTTTCAGGGTCATTTGTTATATACCCACAAATAAGGTTAATTATGTGGCTGTAATGTTCAGTTTTGATCTCATCTCAGCAGACTTATAGAATATTTTGGCTGTTTTTGTTAATATTGCTTGTTGTAAATTACAAACAGGAATCCCTTGTCCCTTTTTCATAAAGTCAAGATTAGTAAAATCAACAATCATCAGGTAACAAGTTAACAGATTCTGTCTAGCTCCTTTAAAGATACCATGAGTCTCATATGTTTTTAGCATCTTGGTCTTCATAATATGTGTTTTTTAATCACACGAAGGTTGATTTCATTCACTATATAGGGGCCTTCTATAGGCACTGGCATTTTATTTAGCGGTATCAGAGTAACCGAGGGTTAAATATAATTGCCACGCTTTATTTTTCAAAAATCACAATTCATTTTTGTTCTACTCAATTTTTCTGCTCTTCTTTCTGTTACAAGTTCAAGGGGGACATTGTAACAGCAGTTTGTGACCAGAGCAGACATTTTACTGGTGGGCGCAGACAAAAAGATTCAGCTTGAACAGTCCTGGAGCTGACAGGCTGTGCCTTGAGCAATCAGTCATACTCTGAGGTGAATGAGTCACAATGAATGGTGGAATAAACTAAATAAAACAGCGCCTGGAGCTATAAGCGTACAGGAAAACCCAAATTAATTGCATGATGAGGGCTTCAGGGGCCTGCCCTGGACAATCATGGAAACTGATGTTAAGCGTAAGGCGAGTGGCAGCAAATCTGTTTGCAGAGTCACTCTTCTGAGGTCACACAGTCTCGGCGGGACATGTGATTCTTTTTATGGGTTACAGTTAGGGTTAAGTAAGTATTGAGATGTGAAAACTAACCAGGTAATGTATGTCAGAGTTAAAAACATCCATCTCTATATAAAACAGGGTGTTTTCCTTACCCATTACAGTAAGGTATGCCCTGGCCTCCATGGGTTTGGCTGTGCTGTTGTTAAACAACGCTTCACATACATACAACCCAGCATCAGCGGTGGTGGCAACTGGAACAATAAGCCGATGCCCACTGGCCAGCAGACGTCCATCACGTTTCCATGACACCGCAAGGCCGTCAACTGGTCTGGGAAAGGAAAAGCAGAGCAGTGTTTGTTTTTAAAAACAGAGCGGAGCAAGAACCAAAGGGAATTGGGAATAAAACGGAATAGGGTGGCTGAAGGCAATTACGACATATTAAATCCATCAGTTTATTTGTCAATGAGGCAGAAAATGAAAGATGACAGTCTGTATATCAGAGCCGTCAGCTCTGCTCAGCATGAGGGAACGTTCATCGGTTTTTCTAAATTCTCAGAAGGGAAATGGCTTTTCATGGAAAATGGAATTTTGTTTTGGATAAACAACATCAAAACACCATTCTTATAAATGTCTGTATTTGTGTAAGACAGCAATAATAAATCAAGGCATCTGTTCATGAGAGCACATCTCTAGAGTGTTTTGGGGTTTTTTATGCCTCCATCAGCTACTGTGACTTAAATTCTTTATGTTTTCTTTTAGCAATTTAAATATAAGCTGTCTTAACGTTTGCAGATGACTTAATGTACAGGGAGCTAATCCTCAGGTAGGTCAATAAACAGCATGTGTTTACAAACTGAAAGTGAAAAATGAACTACATGACATAAAGCAAATGCAGAGCTAAAAATAACATATCAAAGAACTTAAATATTATTAAGGCAGTACTTAAAGAGAGTGTATTGTAATTTCAACGTGATTTAATTATTACAAGTTTGCAAAATTAAATGGGACTAATGACACAAAACAATCAGGAAATGGATTGATTAATTAGTTTATGGATATTAAGTTGCTCTTAATTATGAAATCGGAATTATTCATCATTTAAAGGAAAGCTTGTTTTTTGTTTTAAAGAGCGGTCCCTCAGTAGTTGGTATGTTCTATAACTCTGTGATTATTCTGTCAAATGTACAGATGTGGTCTGATGTTCACATGAAGATCATCTTCAGACATTTGCCAATACGTTTCAAGAATGCATGGGAGCTATTATTAGCAATGAGCTGTAAAGACAACATAAAATATATTTGTAATCCCCATAGAGGTAAAATCATGAATAAAGACTTATATAAAGATTCCATTACTATTAATTCAGTCGTTATAATGATTTACCCATTGCTGCATGGTAGGTTCCTTTATGTCTATGTGTGTGTGCATGGTTTTTTGCCCTGTTCTGGGCTTGGGATCTACTCTTCCTCTTGCCTAATGACTGCTGGAGATAAAGATAATAGGGTATTGATGATTATAGAAGAATAAATAAAAGAAAACAGAATCTTTAGTACACAGAGAAAAATAGCACACTAACCACATACTTTTTCAGCTATCATAAATCTTATAGCAAGAGGAATATTTGATCACACCTTGTGGGATAATTAGGACCATTTTGACCAAGATTGTGGTTTGATTTATTGTTATCCTGTTTTAACCATTTTAGGACAAGTTGTGATAAATGTTGCAACATCCGGTTGTGTCCAAGCCTGTGGGAAGTGCTCAGGAAAAATACTTGATTCCAGAGAAAATCTGAAAATGAACAATATAAAGTTATATATATGAATATATATCACTAAAAATCTAAAAAAATATTGTTTGTGGATTTATATACCGGTTAACATTAATATAATTAGTTTTGTGCTGCTTTGTATATTTCTATTGTATCCTATAGTCTCAGCAAGATGCATTATTGTCCAGCAGGATTTGTTTAGGTCAATTCTATCGTCCTTACGAACTGTCTTTCTTGAATTTATATTTTATTGATTTTTAACATCAAGGCAATGGGACTACAAATAGAACATCCAATTCTGTCTAAGTCTGACTTCGTGTTTTATTAAACCCTGTTTTCCCCTTTAAAAAAAATAAAATAAAATAAACCATCTGACCCAAACCACCCACCGTATAGAAAAAAAAGGCTTGACTGAAATCTGCATCTTCCCACATAGATAAGGCAAATGTCTTCTGCAGAAATGATTTACGGTTAACTAAACCAATAGTTGACTATTTCACCACTAAGACTAAAAAAGACCTCTGTACTGCCTATCAAGCATGGTGGCAGCAATATCATGCTTGAAAGTAAGTCAAGTATGGTACTGTTAATAGTGGTAAAATGAATGGAACAATTATTTTTTGTCTAAAACTAGCAAAGGTTTGTTCTAATATTAAATCATTGCAAAATATGTGAAATGAGCCAACCTAAAAATACAATTTAGTTGTTAGAGTTTTTACATACTTTTGTAAGAGAACACATTTTTCTGTTCTTGTAAAGTCAAATGGAGATCTATAATTACTTTAGCACAAAGGAAGAAAAAAGTTGAGCCAGATATATACACATGGAAAATTGCATTTTATTGAAGTACAGTCAAGATTAGCCTCTACTTGTTTTCCACTAGGCTTCTAATAATTTCAGCCTTCAACCAGGACTACAGTGGTGCATCTACAGCACCCAGTAATTATTGACTGTGGAAAGCAGATGATTATAGACTTTGGCAAAGCATTTGATTTCAGTGATTGCTCTCTCAGTGCTGTCAAACTTTTCCAAGTTTTTTTTTTCTTTTCCCTCTCTCTCTGTTTGGGGTTAGAAACTCGTAATGTAAGCTTCAGTGAATGCTTTTGGAAGGCAGACATAGCTAATGAGGAAGCTATTGTTTCTCTTTGAAAATAATAAATAAACTGTGGGCTTATTTGTATGCAGATGAAGAGCACAGTAAGAAGACCAGATTGCCTTCTGTTGAATTAAATATTTCAGATCTAATGATAATGTTGTTTTGTGTGGTTGACATGACATCTGTTACTTTTAACCTCCGCTATAAGCAAGTTCTGCTCCTCTAATATGTCTGATAATTGCTTTTAATTTCACAATTTAAAGGCTGCCCACTAGTCAAATGTGTGTCAAGTTCTATTGATAAACTGTTAAAGAAAGTTTTAAAACAGAGCCGCCTAAAAAAATTAAAACACAAGATAACAGGTCAAATAATGTGCAGCAAACAACATGTAACCCCTGGGAGTTCAGCTTACAGTTATAATAGTTTGTGGCTGTGAGTATAAATAGTTTAAAAAGCATAAGTAAGTTAAAGGGTATGAAGAGGTTAAAAGTGTTATGTTAAAAAGCATTAATGATAAAAGAATGATTAGGTTCATTTGGGACTAGAGGGAACTTTAAGAAGTTTAATATATGTAATGTTAAAGTTTCATTTGTTTATTATTTTGAAATATGTAAGTTTCATTTGTTTATTATTTTGAAATATGTAAAGTGTAATTGATGTATGATTTACTCAAAACTGTGATAAAAGTTGCAGAAATGTTTAACTGCTATAAATGATAGTTTAAGTAGAAGGTGATGTTAAGATGAAGAGCCAAACCGAGTGAGAGAAAGGAAAAAAAGAGAAGTACGAGGAACCGAAATGGGGAGCTGGAGCCGGGGGAAGAGAGAGAGGGAGGAGCAGGATGGCGGCCGCAGGCGACGGGATGCCCGCAGCGTAACGACACAACCCGGGTGGATGATTGCGTTTGTCTGGTGAAAAGAAGGTGTGCGGACAGAACTCTTTCGGACATCAGATGGATGATGGTGGACTGGGTGAGTGACCAACTCAACCAGTGAAGCGGTTCTGGTTGCTAGAACAGTGGCCAGAGTTAGCAGGATCCAGCTAATTTGCTAGCGGCTAGCTAACACAAGGAGCGGAGACTGTGTGTTGATTTCCAGACACGGGGCAAGAAGATTCCGCATAGCAGGACTGGTTGCTGCTAAGAGGAGTTTTACCCACGCTGTCTGGGGTTTTTTGAATGGTATCCACCTCCTGGGGATGTTCGTCGGGTAAGAAAAAAGCGCACGTGCGCCCCTTCGGGGCCTGCTCCGAACTGAACTGTTTTTTTTTGTAGATGCCGGCTTTAAGTTTCCTTTTGGGGTAAATGGGGAGAGACTCATCTGGGTTTTGATCTATATGAAAATGTTTGAATGTTAGATTGCATATGTTTGTGTTCAAGCTTAAGTAAAAGAGTTCGAGTTCAATAAATGTATGTTTATTTTTGAGTGCTGCTTATAAGATTTCTATTTCTTTAGTTAGGTTCTATCTTTTCCTGTGAATGGTATATGGTGTGTGACTGCTCATCAGGGTAGATAGGTGAATACATACAGTTCAAAGTGGGAAAATAAATAAATAAATGACTCTCTTCCCACAACATTTCAAAATGCATATAAGTGTCATGAACTGTTTTAAATTATGTGGAAGCTCAGTTAAGGAGAGCATTTAGGCCATAGAAATTGTAAATGCATTTATGTTATCAAATTTTATCTGTAGAAATTTTCTAAGGACAAAATACGTTTTCAGCAATCAATGAGCCCAGAGCAGCTAAGCGCTGCGAAGGTCTTTTGTATTTTTAATGTTCTTTATTATTCTCCTGGCAATTAAATTGGCTTTCTTTTTAGGCTCTAACATATTCAAAATATATCAGTACTGTCCCCAGAGAAAAATGGATGTTTTCTAAGGGCGGGCATACACTGTACAATATTTTAAATCTTTGTACTCAGCTACAGCTCAGACTGTACAACAAAACTGCAGGGTTTAAAAGTTCACAGCTCATGATCCATGTTCTTATACTGCACAGCCCGACGCTCTGATGTGATCTACTGTAACTGCTCACACTGTACATCCAAAAACCACATGTTGGACTGAGTGCTGAGAGATGGCGCTGGTTGGACTCATCAATCTGGAAGCCAAACTTAGACCGTAGAAGAACAAGAAGGAAAAGATGTTCGTAGTTCTGCTTCAACAGCAGGATTTGCTCACAAGAACCTCACCAGAGCCGAATAATTTTCAAACATGTTTGATTTTCCCCGACCTTACGATTCCTGATTGGTAGGTTGTCATGAGAGGCTACCTGTCCCCGGTTACCCCATGTATACTGCAGGACTGAACTGGAGAGTCAGCCTGAAAAGGGTAAAAACTTGCTCAGTGTATGCCCGCCTTTAAGGAATTAAAAATTGGAGCATAAGGTTTAACATTGCCTACAGATAAGCCAAACCAAATGTTGTAGAAATTTGACATAAGGTACAAAGGTAGATCTTCAAAAATCAAGGCAAAAGGATCTTGGAAGTATGACATAAAGGCAATAGGAAGTAAGCCATTTTGCCGATTTTCATTTTTGTACAAGTCAAACTTTCACAAATTTTTTCTAGAGTTTCAGGCATTGCCTTTATATTTGTTGGTAGTAGTTAAACCATGGAGAACTAAAGGTTCTTAAAAATCATCAATCTTTAGACGTGAGGGAATGTGGAAAATATTGAACTACACTGACTCAATCAAAGCCCCACCTGCTGAATATAGTTTTTGTTTTTACTTGGAAGCTTGATATCCGATCCTCTTTGCTTCACTGACGTAATATTTCAGAAAATGACATGTTTGTCTAACTTTACTTTGACACTGACAGTATTTATAGTAAACTCTCATTGTGACTATGGTGTTGTGGCAAAGTGTAGCATTACCTTATGACCATATCTTTAGCTCACATTTTCTACGTAAGCCCTTTTTTCACTGGAAGCAGTAGCGTTTAAAACCCCAGGCTTCGTATTCAACAGGTAAAACGAATCCTGGGTAATTCATCAGCGTGCTTTCCCATTACTCTGGAAGCCCTACGACAATCAGTACGATAGAAACTGCACTACACCTTCAGCCCAGTGGGTGGTGGACATAAGAACATACAAATGGTTCTTTAGCATGCTCATTTGATGAACTCACTTCAATTCAGCCCACACAAAACAGGGAGTAACCCCAACTTCCTTTAGGAAGGTCAAATTTTACCCCAATTTTAAATGCTTCTCGCTGTGGCTGTACTTTGCCTGATTGAAGTTAGGATTCACTTCTGCTCCCTTAACCCCCCTGTGGGAAGCCAATTAGGGCTCTTATTGACAAATGTACTATTGTAATCATCTTCAGCACAATAAAAGGTTTGGAGGCATTTTGTCTATTTAGGTTGAGTCTAGGTTGAGGGGAATAGGAGAGCATGTTTGAAATATCTACGCAAAGTGTTACCTTTCAGACATAAAGAATGGACATGGAAAAAATCTTAAACTAAACAGGGTTGAGATTTATTGAATGAATGAATTAGACTGCAGATTTTTTTTACTAATATGTGTAATAGTTTTATTTTATATAGCTTTAAATAACTTAGTTTAAGTGAGATAATTAATCTAATTGAATTCAGTTAAGTCATATAGCTCTAACTCAGAAAACCATCATCTCACGGCAGACAAATGATGCAGACAGATCGGTTAAAACGTTTTCTATCTAGAGACACCCAGCTGAAAGCATTGAGCTGTTGACTTTACAGAATTCAATAAGTAATTAGATGTGGTTCATTTTCAGCAAATACATTTTTCTAATATCAAGTTTAGTAAGAACTGTTATTTCATTTGGCAAAGATCAGTCTGTATTTATACAAGTGCATAGTGTGGGTGCTGATGTGTAATTAGACTTGTCTATGAACCTGGTACTGGTATAAACCTGACTTCTTTCTTTTCCAACAAAACAACAGTTTTACAAAGTGAATGTATAAAATTGATTTAAAATGTTTGCTTGTTGCTGATTTCTCGGTTTTTGAATGCTTGTCATGTTTTGGTTTTAAAGAACATCCACAAAAAAATAAAAAAGTGAAAAGGCAATCAAGTAAAAACCAAGTACTTTTTTTTTTTGAATTTATGGTCTAAAGGGAAAAAAAAATTGGAAGAGACATTAGGCTTATTTCACAAAAGCTGAATTCAGGAATCCCAGGATTAGAGCCAGACTAGACACAACCTGAGGAGTACCTCCTGGATTCACCCTCTCAACAAATGCCAGGTGAGACGATGTCAGGCCAGGTGAAATTAATCAAGCTAAAAACAGGTCATCAGTTTTCTGCAAGACACCATGAGGTCTTGACTAAATTCCTTAACAGAATAAAATACTCATTCTCTACCCCAGCGCATAACTGCAAATGTAATAATTCATGGAGTTGTAACTTTAATCAAATAAAAAAACTATTATCCTGAGGATTAAAACAATGAAAGTCACTACAGTAACATATGGAGATCTGATTATAAATGTGTATTATATTTCTGTGGTGTAGCGGTCTAAATTGTTAATTTCAGTGCAGATACCCAGGTTCCATTCCTGAGTACATCTGGAATAAAAATCTTTATTTAACAGCAGATATTATATTTTTTTATCATCATACTGGTATTCCAATCATTTTGTTATTTATATAAACAAACGGAAACCTATTTTTTAAAGGAATCTAGGTACAGGAACAGGTTTGGAAGCAATAAGATGTATTCATGTTATTTAATTCACATAAAAAATTTATTTATTTGACAGGCCTAACCATAACTTACTCTTACCTGAACCGTATGGCTTTCTTTTAATATTTGGTTAAATATTCAGTTTAGGGATAAAACAAAATCAATTTAAGATTAATGGCCAGTTAATGCAAACATTTATTTTATTTGATTAACTGATAATGTCCCCTTACAAGGAATGTTGTAATCCCAATACCCAATGGTATTTGCAAGAGAAGTAATGCCAGCAGAAATAAATTAAGCCACAGTCCAGTCCAGTTCAGGATTATTTACACTATTTCATAGCACCAAGGATGTGGAATGGACTTTACATGATTCTGTTTCTAAATATAAATGTTTTAGACATCTTGTACTGCGAAACAGCAGAAATGTTCTGCTTAGCTTGGAAGGATGTGATAATAGAAAGGTGTAATGCATTAACCAAAATATTTCTAACATGATAGAAAAAGTCATGCTAACAATAAGCAGGATAGGCTTACACAAGTTAATCAACTTCATGGAGCCAAGTCCTAAAATTCCTCTGAGAACAACTAGATCCTGGTTCTGGTGATGAAAACAACACAAAGTCTTTTAATTAATTAATCGACAACTTGTATCCCTAATTAGGCTGGTCCGATACTCCAGTTCTGCCAATGTAGATGGCGATAATGTCTATTAATGTTTGCCACCACCAGCCAATGGTCCCAAGAAAAAGAGGAAGGAGAAGAAGTCATTGGTTTCTGTTCAGTGTTACTGCTGACCCTGCATGTATGGCACTCAGGTTTGAGTTATCCTGGCTATTAAGCTGTTTGGAAGCAAGCTAGCTGCACAAAAAACACGTTTACTTTAATAACTGTTGTATTACTGCTTCCGTGAAACCTAATCTGGCTCAAATATCCAGAACATTTCAACTTAATCCCTTATTTTCGTTTTATTAAACAGGGTCATGCCCCACCCCCCTACCCTTCCCTAAATATAACTCTCGCTAAAACCAACTTTGGTTCTGCAGCAGGACAGCGATTCAAAGCATATCAGCAGGTCCACCTCTGAATGGTTAAAGAAAAACAAAGTCCTGCCCTGAATCCTATAGAGATGCTGTTTTAAGAAGGTATTTCATGCTCAAAAGTCTTGGAATCTGGCCAAATTAAAAAAAATATACAAAAATTAGTTGAAGACGAGGCCAGAATTCATTTACAGTGCTAAAAAAGACTATTGATAGATACTACTGATTGCAGTGCTTGCTGCTAAAGAGGGTAGCCTGCTATAAGGTTTAGGGGGCAATCAACTTTCTCATAAGTCCTTATGGGTTTTGATTTTTGTTCCTAATTACAAAATTATACATTTAAAACTGCATCTTATGTTTACTTGTGTTGTGTTTGACATATCATTTGTCTGATGATCTGAAACACAGGGGTGTGAGGTAAATGCTTTTTCACACCACTGTATATAAGGCACATAGAAATTGATGTAAAGCGTCTTTTGAAGAGATGGATTCTGCAGTTTGTGTACAATACCTGTATACAGTCACTGAGCTACAAGATTGCAAAGAGACCTCTAACTTTCCTGGAAGGATACAGGGTTGCCTGGAAAAATTGGAATTACTCACACTTGTGAATACAGTTATGAATGAACACAAAGGACATGTACCTTGTGTTGGCAATGCACTCCAGCGTAGCCTCTTTCCCCAGTACAACTGTTGTGTTTTTAGGTCCAATCACAATTGCTGGCGCTACATGCTCTGACTCAGGACCTGAAGGAAAAAAAAAGTGAATGTTTACCTCATAAATCCTACTTGCACACCCAGCACCATATCCACAAACATAGATCCGAGCTACATTCTTTTCACTTATACAACCATATGCCGCAATGTGATTTTTTTTATTACTCATCACAAAATATGTATTACTTATCACAAAAAGTTTAAATATTAAAGGGCACACTCACGTTTATCTCAAAAACGAAGTAAAAAAATTGCAAAAAAGACTTTTGAGTTTCTCTGCAATGAAATTTCTTCATTTTACCAACAAAAAGAATGAATTATGTCATGATACCTGGTGCTTAATGGTCAGTTTCTTTCAAACATGACTTATTCGAAATCTACTGAAACGATGAAGGTGGACAATTTTTGACAGTAAATTTAATGTGAAAGTAGAATGGTGACAATATTGTTACCCTGCAGTGATTTCAAAACATCTCTCCCTGCAGCTGGATAGTGTTCAGAAAAGGTCAAAAGGGTAAATACATTTTGTGTAGATGCAATAGTAGTGTTACTGGAGACATTAATAGCATGACAAGCTTAAAGAAATACAAAAATCCATGTTAAAAATATAATCCTTCACACATACTGGGCCTTAAATTACACTTTCCAAATATGTTCAATTCATCCAGCCATCCATCCATTTTCCATCACGCTTATCCCAAGCAGTGTGGTGAGGGGTACTGGTGCCTATCTCCATGTTCAATTCAGAAAACTACAATTCTAAATAATGCCTCAAAACAATTGAAAATTACATTTATCTATTAAAGCAAATAACCAGTGTTTGATATAGTCCAATGGCTCATTGCCCTGAGTCTGATGCTGTTGGAGTGCAACACAAACTCACAACATGCATGCTTAAAAAGTTTTCTTAGGCAATGTCCAATCAGTGAGGAAGAAACTTTAGCTATTAGTTTGTGGCCTCAAGCTCGAGTCACGAGGCAAGACGATCAGATGCATATCAACAAGTTCACCTCTGAATGAGCACTTTAACTCCAGCCTCTCATGCCTCGAATACCTTAATTTTCAGAGAAACATCTAAATCATGGTTCTTCAAGGTACTCGAGGTACTGCACCTTTTATCTCTGCATCAACACAATTTAATCCAGTGGCCACAAACTCTAATCATTGAGGGCCCCTGTCCTGCAACTTTTAGTGTGTTTCTTTCCCTACACACCTGAATGAAATAGCTAAACTTCCTCACTGTTATGCTCTGCTAATGAGCGTATAATGGAGTCACGTGTGTTGGAGCAGAGACGCATCTAAGGGTTGTGGGACAGCGGCCCTCGAGCACTAGAGTTTGAAATGACTGCCTTAGTCAAATAATCAGGTCATTAGCAGTATTCGGGAGAACTTGATTGCATACTGAGGAGGTGTTTGGAAGCACGGACAAATCTACCACAATGACTGGAATTGAAGAACCCTTTATGAACTATAAAACATGCAGAAAATTGGCCCTTCAGGACTGACTACGGCCACTGCTGCTCTGCATGGGCAAGAAAGAATGATTGCCTGTTATTGCAAATGCTTGGTGCCAGTTGCATCTGATTTGGAAAGTGCTTTGCGGGGTAGACCTCCATGCTGCATAAAAACATCAGTGTTGCAATTACAGTTTGCTCTGGTTTGAGCCGACAGAATTGACAAAGACTCCTGGATAGATGTTGAAATGTCTTCATAAAAAAACTAAATGAAAGTCCAGCTGCCTTTCAATTTAAGCCTGTTTGGAGGTTGCCATGATGTGTCAGATGACTGAGAATTTACTCAGACATATTGATGCCAGTTGTCACTGCCAAGAGGGGCAAAACATGTTAAATATGAGACTGTTTTTTTTCACACAGGGCAAAGTTGGTTTGGATATGTCTTGGTTTTCTTAATGAGTGAAAACTGCGAACTTTCTGGCGTATATGTGTGGTGAGCTTCGGTTTCAGACAGCCTTTGAAGCTCACCTTTCTCAACGCGGCTCTTTAAAAATGGCCGAAGGCTTGTAAGAGAAAAAGTGTCTACGAAGCATATGAGAAGAAAAGTAAGGCTTCAGAAGAGGCAGATATATCCCGGCATGCTTTGCCAAAGAGCCTCGTAAAGCATCTAAGTCTCCTGGAGAAGAGGATGAAGGAGGTCATCAAGGCCATGTCGAAGTGGGAGCGATGGATCCCTGGGTTGGAGAAAAGAGATCTTGATGGGAGGATCAGAGATCTCAAAGGAACCAGCAGTAGGCTTGAACTGAGGAAAGCTGAATTTGCCACTGCACGGAGAGTTGCAGAGGAAGCAAGTGCTGCACAGCCTGCAAATGTGGTGGCTGGAGGTCCAATACAAGCAGCACCTATGGTGAGGATTAAACCGACAGCTCTTCCAACCTTCAGTGGAAACAACAGAGATTATCACAGATGGAAAAAGGATTGGGAGAATCTTCAGAGACAAGGAGAGCCATCTGGGTCAGCAGAGGTCAAGAAAATTCAACTCCTCAGCAGCGTTGAAGACAAAATAATGAAGGATCTCAGACTGTCAACCTACACTACTGCTGATGAGATCTTCAGAGTCATGGAGAACAGGTTCGGCAATAAGGCAACAATTGTCCTAGAAATCCTAGAAGAATTAGAGAAAATGGCTCCTGTGAAGGGAAATCAACCAAGGAAAGTCATTGAAGTAATTCAGACTGTGGAAAAAGCCCTAGCAGATCTGACAGAGCTGGGGAGCTCCGGTGCGATGAGGAACCCGTTGGTCATCAGGAGAATAGAGAGTAAATTACCTGATTTTGTGAAAAGAGACTGGTTGATCTTCATGCTAGAGTCAAGCAATAATGTCACCCCAGAGAACCACTTTGATCTGCTCCTGAAGTTCCTAAAAAAGCAGGAAGGCGTCCTGGAGAGACTTGAGCAGCTCAAAACTGTGGAGAAGAGAGAGAGACCAGACTACTGCCCAGGAAGGAAACCTGAGAAAAGTTATGCTTCTACCAAGATGGCAAAGAAAGAAATGGGGGAAGTGTGTGCAGTGTGTGATGACTGGAGGCATCATGACAAGATCTTCTTCTGTAAGAAGTTTAGAGGATTGAAACTTCAGGAGAAAAAGGTAGCATTAAAGAAGCTAGGTGCATGCAAGAAATGCCTTGGATTGCATGGTGACAGTAATTCTTGCAAGGACACCTACCTGTGCAGAAATAAAGACTGTAACAAAGATGGAACCTCTGATCACCAGTATCTCCTCTGTCCAGTTGGGAGCAACAGCAAAGTTAGCATTGAAACCAGCAGGAAAAGCAGTGTGGGGAAAAGCAAGCTGACTGAAGAACAGGAAAGTTTTCTGTCTGAACTTACCCCTGAGATGGCAGAGAGATGCAGAAATGCATTCACCAACAGTATTGCCCGGTCAGCTAACACAAACAAAAAACATTCAGAGCTTTTGATGAGAAATGGGCACTGTGAGCTTCCTGTTATTTTGATGCTGATGGAGGTCACCGCTAATGCAGGACAGAAGGTGGGAACACTGGTGGATCTTGCATCTGACACAAACTACATTACCCATAAGGCTGCTGACAGGCTGAGGTTACGAAGTGAAGATGTAACCTTGGTTTTGTATGGTGTTGGTGGGATGACTATCAGAGTGAACACAAAGAGGTACCTTCTCAGAGTCAGGATCAAGACACCCAAAGGCAAAGAAAGAGCACATGAAATGGTCTGCTACGGGCTGGATATCGCCAAGGTGCACAAAGTAATAGAACCTGAGAGGTTAAAAGAATTCTTCCCAGAGGTTGAGCTGGAGGAGCTAAGAAGACCAAAAGATGTCGAGCTTCTTATCAGCCACAGAGAGGGAAGGCTTGCTCCTCAAAGGAAGAGAGTGGTTGGGGACCTCGTCTTGTGGGAGAGTCCACTCGGGAAGACAGTGGGAGGAGCACATCCTGATCTCTTTGAAGATGCAGAAGTGGCAGCCCATGGGTCAAGAACCCACTTCGCCCGGTCCATGAGAACAGCTGCTGTCAAATATGAGGAGATTCTCAGAGACACATCTGAAGCAGAGGATTCCCTCCTAAAAAAGGAGCATCAGGCTAATGTAAATTTTACAAGAGCCACTAACAGTGAGTTTCTTGAATGGTGGAGATGGGAGAGTATTGGGGCAGCCTGTGAACCGAGATGTGGGAGATGCAGATGTGGAAACTGCCAACCAGGAGGGAAAGAAATTACCCTGGCAGAGGAAAAAGAACTTGAGATCATTAAAAGAGGTCTCACGTACATCAAGAAGGAGGATACTCACGTGAACTCACCACACTGTGATGCAAGGTATCCATGGGTTGAAGACCCTGCCTCTCTCCCCAACAACAGGAGTGCAGTGGAAGCCATATTTTTAAGAACAGAAAGGCAATTGGAAAGAGAGCCTGAATGGAAAACTGCATACACAGTGCAAGTACATGAGATGGTTGAACGTCATGCTGCCATGGAACTCACTGAGGAGATGAGAGGAAACTGGAAGGGGCCGGTGTGGTATGTAAGCCACTTGGTAGCACCTAACCCTCGCTCAGTCACGACCCCAGTGCGATTGGTGTGGAATAGTAGCCAAAAATTCAAAGGCGTTAGCATGAATGACCTTCTTTTAAAGGGGCCAGATGTTTTAAACCCAATTAGAGCTGTCCTGCTAAGGTTCAGAAGAGGTGTGTATGCAGCCCTTGGTGACATCAAAAAGATGTATAATTCAGTGTGGCTGGAGGAACGTGAAATGCATCTACACCGATTTCTCTGGAGGGATAAGCCAGAGGAAGATATAAAAGAATATGCCATCACACGGGTCAACATAGGAGACAGAACAGCTGGGTGCATAGCACAGCTCGCTATGCGTGAGACGGCAAGACTATCCATCTTTGCTCACCTGAAGGAGGAGTGCAGGATTCTGGAAGAAGATAGCTATGTGGATGACATCCTAACATCCCACAACAGTCTGGAGGAACTGATCAAAATCACACAAGGAGTGGAGGACATCTTGAAGGCAGGAGGCTTCTTTCTCAAGCCTTG